GTGGGCCGCGCAGTCCCGCACCGCCCTCCGCCAGCCGGCATCATGGAGAGCCATGGTGTCTGCATTGAGGTATAATGTAACCCTAGGCACATCCACCATGGCCCCCGTCTCTGCCAGTCGGTTGAGGCCGATGATGCATGGGACCTGGATATCAGCCAGCCAGAACTGGTGCTCAACAGTGTGGCCGGCCACAGTCACCTTAAGAGGTCCTTCTTCCATCATCTTCATGCTCTCACCAGTTACTGTGGTGATGCAGAGTGGAGTAGTTCTCGAACCCCGCAGCCTTGGCCCAGACATCTCTGGCAACATTTCCAGCCAGACCAAAGAGATAGTGGACCCCATGTCTGGCCTGCACCTTGTGCCATCCAGTCCACATTTAGTCCATGCAACTGGCCCAGATGGCCAAGCTTTAGCTGCTTCATGGTGAGGGTGGACAAGTCATCCAGGGTCAGCAGCTCCCTCCTGGCACTTCCCCATCCTAGTTTAATGGGACCTGGGATGCTGGGATTTTTAGTGCAGGTGGTGGGTGATGTGGCCTGGCTACCTCCGAGATAGCATCCCGCTCTGTGTCGATCAGCAACTCCTTGGGCTCGACATGTTAATGACAATCGTCAACAACATAGCCAGATGTAGCGCCTTCACCTCAACTGACCAGCAAATAGCAGCGCCTAACACTGAAACTGTGTGAGATAGGCTTTCCAGCTGCTCATGCCAGAGAATTTCTGTCTCTTCACCCTGGCAGGTTGTGAAAAAAGGGTGCACTGCAGAGTGAAGTTCCCTGCACAGCCTCGTGGTTGGGTCATCATCGGTGTGTAGGTTGGTCCTGCTGTCCCTAGCTTGGCCTGGCCTGCCCACGATCCAGGAGAAGCTGGTTTGTCCAGTGGTACTGGCTCTGTGTCTGCGTAAAATCATAATGTGGATGACTGGGCTAACTCTTCCGACTTACAAATATTAGCTCCATTGGTGGTCTCTTTTCAGCAGGTGCTTGCTGAGGGTGGGGGAGTTTGAGAGCTCCAGGCAGCTAGCGGGGCATCTGCTCGTAGTTGTAGTGTTGCTTCTTCCAGCTGGGTGATGAGCTCATTGATTTCCTGAAACAATGTCATCTTCAGAAATCCCACTTCTGAAACCAATTGTAATGTCGGCTGGTTGAAGGAGGGTCGGAAGCGTCTTTTTTCAGCTCAGTAGCTGCTTTATTATTCCACACACAACAGAACACACACTAACAATCTCCACCAACCCTGAAATATATACAACCCACCCCATGGGGCATTCTGGGGGACCCTGCCAACAGTCTCTCCCCTTTGGCTTTCTGGGAAGTCCTGCCAGGCACTCCTCTGCCCCCCTGGGCTACAGTTTTTTTTTACCTGTTACACAATTTTTTTGTAGGTACCCACGGGTACCCGACCCAGTGCAGGACTTTACTTCAGAGGTTATGAATGACTTCACAACCTTTGTAGGCATCCTAAAGACTTCCTGCCCTGGTGCTGTGGAAGGCATTGTTAACAGGGCATCACAAACTTGTCAGGGAACTGCTTAGCTCAGGACTGTAGAGAGTTTTAAAAAATTCTTTATATTTTTTAAAACTCTTATTCACATTTCACATATTTGAATGCTTATATCTCAGTCACATTTATTTCAATATTTTATATATACAGTATGTATTTGTGTGTCTGTCTTACTGTATGGCACTAAGTTCTTTCTCATGTCAGTCAATAAATATATTGCTTTTCTTCATTCACTACTGCAACTTACCAGTGTAGTTGTACTGCATATGTGATAATAGTAATGATGTTAACCAGTTTGCAAGTCCATATTGCAAGTAAAAAGTAGAACCAGATTAATTGTTTATACTTGCTACAGGATGCCCCACAGTGTGTCCACAGTAGGCTATATTTCCACAGTTGGCCCACAGAGGCCCCAAGTGTGCCCACAGTGGATTCCAGTGCTGTGCCCCCACTGTAGGCTAACTCTAGGTCCCAGTGGGGGCACACTCTGCCTAGGGTGGGCACTCCACAATGAGCCCACACTTTGGGCCCTGTGTGGTTCCCACATGTGCCCCATATTCCACACGGGTATTGGACCCACATAGGGGCACTTTTTTCTTTGCTCACAGTGGCCCCACATTGGTTCCAAAAGGGCATGCTTGCTGGGTTCTTAAAGTTATGGCTTTTGTTAGTGTAAATATTGTGTGCTAGTGTAACTAGTGTAACTAGCAGTAATACAGACTTGGGTGAACATGGAAATAAAGCCTTCTTTCCACATAAGGTAGTTTCCACCACACCACTAAGAGAGAGCATTGCAGTTCATATACAGAGACTGAGATTGAAAAACCAATCTATCATACCCAGCCTCTGTATATGAACTGTGATGCTCTCTTTCAGTGAGTGCGGTGAAAACTACTGAAACATTTTACAGCACAAAGCAGGTAGAGGGCACTGTTCTTCCAGTGAAGGAAGTAAAGATCAGAGCAGAAAGGAAAATTATTCCTAACACATGATCACTGACATAAGGGAGTCATATTTTTAAACTCCAGATCTTAAAGAGCCCATGGCATGCTCATTTTGATCATTTCCAGCCATTTAATGTTTAATCTTGGGTACCTCTAGATTAGCTTTGCATCTATTATAACTCCAAATAGTCTAATTATTTCAGAATGATAAAACCCGAGAGCCTCTTCCTAAAAACGAGAGGATAACTTGTGAATGCGCACAACTCCTACTGCTGGTATTGTGTTGAAAGTGAGCAGCACAACGAACCGCAACAGCATTAATTAATCAGAATTTCTTCTTCACAGATTGGTAATCAACAGTATATGTAAAAATGAAAAGAGACACTCTAAACAAAGCAGGTAATTGACAAACTCCATATTTTAACTGGCATATTGCAGACATAGTAACTTCTCCAGCCTTACAACAATTAGAAACAACGCATTAACAGACATGCAACGTGCGTTTTTTTTTTTTTTTTTTTTTGTTTTTTTTTTTTTTCTTTCCATTCGAGTACTGGAAACATCACTCCCTTTCAAGTAGCTCCAAGGTCGGTAAATCCAACCAGTGGTCGCTGCGCCTTCCTCCACACGAGTACAAACAGTCCCACAGTATTGAAATTAATTCCAACAGGTAGCATAGCGGCGACAATAATATCATGAATTGTTAATCCGCTTGTTAACCCACATCACATCACATGTGGCAGACACACTGGCCTCAGGCAGTCAAAACAAACAGGTACTGTGCTCCGGGGGAATACAGCATTGATGAACTGATCATTCACCACCCAAGGGCGCTAAACTGGCTGACTGTCTGCAGGTTTCCAGCCACTCCATTCGTACCATGTTAGACCTGGTCAGGTAAAACAGCGAGTCCATGTACATGAACATTCCCGAATATGCAGTAACCTCAGGCCCTGTATTTTTCTCCACATCCTCTGGTCACAGTGCAGCAGCAGGAGGTAAAATATATCCACAAAACTGCATGCAGTCAAAAAATTCAGCTTTTACAATGGCACCTGTGGATGTCAGGCAAGCTCTCATTAATGAGCAACTGCCTGGAGATTATGCGCATTCAAGGCAATTCTTAAGATATCGCGTAATAATTAATTTTGTTAGAAAAAAAGTCTTGCGAGAGTTTGTGAGACTTGTATAAACCAAGTTGCTTCTGCATAGAAGTACTGGAACATACGTACACCTCATTTTTTGAGCTTAAGGTCACATCTAGGATGATAATTCACCATTGTAACATTGTAGATAAGTCAAAAAACAAGGAAAAGCATGTCATGGGCTCTTTAATGTAACACTGGTTTGATATAGAGGTAACCAGTTCTCAGTGATAATTATATTTGTTATAAGTAATTATATTATTAGCATATTAGTATTCAAATGTGTGTTTACAGTCACCTTGTTAACTGACCTTGTGTGTTATCAAATTCATTATTTGTTTTTTAAGTTCACTCTTTACACAGTGGATTTTACTATGGACAACTTTTCATTACTTTGACAAAATGTGTTCCATGAACACAATCAAATTCAACCACCACCCATAAATCTTTTATAGCATAACATAACACAAAACTGTATATTATACTGCAATCTTCTACAGTTAAAAAATAAAAATAAAAAAAATAATTGCTAATTGGTCTATACATCATGTTGGTAAAGAGAACTGTGTGAAAAGTGAACTCAAAGAGAAATGTGTGTAGCCAGTCAGATATTCCAAATCACCGAGGTGATCTTGCCACAGTACAATTAAGCATCATCTTTGATGATTGTGTAATGCTATTAGTTGCAGTGATCAGCTGTTTCTCAGGAGCTTGTACAATTGTAGCCATACCTGTCAATTATGCTTCTCAGGGCCCGCTCTATGTTCATGCGGTGGCCCACACGTGTCACGCCCAAATCCAGATAGTCTTCCTTGGTAAGGGAGGGCAGGTGGGTGCCATCAATCTCGTTGTCTAGGAAACGCTCTCTGTGCTCACCCAGATTCAGGTATCCTAGCCAGTCTGCAACATCATACTTGGTCCAGTATGGCAGTGGCTTGGAGGCAAATGGCTTTGTAGGGGATGGGGGCGGTAAATGGGGGTAACTTAGGCAAGTAGGTGGAGGGAGAGGGTGCAGGGGTGGAGATGAAGTCCCGGACAGGAAGTGTGTTGGAGAGAGGGATCGTGAAACAACTAAGGTGGAGTTTGGAGGAGGTGGTGCACCAGATGGGGCAAACAGAGGAGGAGAGGGTGAGAAGTAAGGATCTCCAAGAGGGTTCCCAGGGGATGGTGGGGTGATTGAACCTCTGAGGTCATAGATGGCACTGTATAGGGGTGAGGTAGGGAGGAGCGGAAGGGATGAGGGACGTGGTGGGCCCATCTTGGGGCGCTCTGAGGGGGAGATGAGGGGGCTGGGTGCTCTCCTACGCTGGAGCATGTGTGATTCTGCTTTACGGGATTCACGGCTAGGGATGAACTGAAATTCTAGGGCTTTGCTCCGGTAGACAGGTCTGTGTTTTGGGGAAGTAGGGTAAGGGGAATACGATGTCGGGGACAATGGGGAATGTGAACGTGGAGGCTGAGAGGAAGCTGGAGGCTGAGGAGATGGGGATCGTCCCCAGCTGGGGTACTGGGAGGCAGGTGTGGGGGACGGGGACAACGATGGTTGTGATAACGAGATTGGGGATGGGGACTGCGATCGAACTGAAGGGGGGCTCAGAGCTGAGGCTGAATCTTCAGAAAATCTGTGAAAAGAGAGAGAAAGAAGTAGTAAAAAGTAAAAATAAAAAATGATAGAAACCAGAAACCAATTAGATGAAAAACATGCATATACACACACACACATTAAGGAAAATGTTGGTAAAAGATTGTCCCACTATTTTCAGAACCTGTAGATTGAAATTGTATACATTGTCAACATCTTGATTCAGTCTACATGTTTAACATGGTTTTACTTCCTCACTGTCTTACAACAGGCTGTGAATTCACAAATTTTATTCTCTCTGATAGTAAAGAAAGCACTGCAGGAGTGGCGCTATTACCTGTGTCTGCTTCTGAGAGAAACACATGAAAAAAGCCAAAAAAAAAGAGAGGTTTACACAGTATAGACACAACACTTAGTCACAAACCGACAATACACAGTTTTTCATAGAAGATGTGAACATCAGTTGAGGGAGGTAAAGAAGTCACATGTGACACTGATGTATTCATACAGGTGAAACATGGATAGAACTGACAATGTTGTACATCACAACAAAAACTGTAGTTCATGCTGTGACAAAAAACAAAGCCAAAGTTTTCAACTTTGTTTGTACCTGTGTCTGCTCAGTGTTCTCTGGCTGCTCCAGGTGTCCTTGCTTCTTTGCTGCAGTTTGCTGCTTAGCTCACTGATGATGCTGGGCTTCATACTGGATGCAGGTGGGTAAATCTTCTTCCCCTCTAAAAATGTCCCAGACTGGTCTCCTCCATCACCTGTCATCTGGCCCTCACCCCAGAGGGGCTTCATCTCAGGGGTGTGTGGACGATCAAAGTATGGTGAAGTGGGACGCCCCAAATTCTGCATATCCCTCACCCCATATCCATCCTGGCCACTATCATCCTCTGCCACTCCTGTCTCCACATCATCTTCTTCCTGCTCATCTCTTCGCCTGTGGGAGTGGAAGGATGCAGGAGCAGTGCTTGTCTGCCTCTGCATATCCCCGGCACGACCTCCCTCTCTGAATCTACTGGTTTTTGGATAGGTGGAAGCTGCTGCTGTGGCATTTTGCATCTCAAAAGTTTGTCCATCCAGGTAGCTCATATAAGACTCCAAAAAATCTGATCCCCTTTCTGATTCCCCTGACCCACCCCCCCCTCCAATCCGTTGTCCAGCTCTCTCCCCTCGGTTCAGCCTGTCACCTCGAACACCAGTTCCACTTAGAACTAGGATGCTGTCCAGGTGGTGGTCACTGCTGCTGCGACTGTCCAGTTCCTCAATCCCAGAGTCCACCACTGTTTCCTGAGACTCTCCTTTCTTGGTAGCAGGGGGAGGATGGTGGTGCTCGCCTGTCTGGCGACTGCCCATGATGACAGTGGAGGATGTTGTATGTGTGATGTGTGTTCGCTCCTGATAGAGCTGAGTGGAGGTGCTTGTTGTGGTGGGACCGGCGGCAGTTGTAGTTGTAGCGGCACAGCTAATGGTCATGGCATGAGAGGCAGTGCCCCTTAGTGGAGCAGAGGTGGCAGCAGTGGAGGAGGGTGCCAGGGGACCACGATAGGCTGGGGGAGGTGCAACTGAGTGTGGGGGAGGTGTGGGGGATGAGCGTCCAGGAGTGGGTGTGCTGTTGTAAAGGTGGTGGGACATAGAGAAGGGTCTGTGGTAAGATCCAGGAGGAGGTGGTGGCGAGACTGATGGGGGAGGCGGAGGTCCCGTGATTGAGGCAAGCTGCAGGGTAGAGGGTGAGGGAGGGGGTGGATGGTTGGGTGATGTTTGGGAGGGGGAGGGAGCAGACTGGGTCAGGTTAGCCACCTCACTGTCATAAGATGTGAGGCTGGAGGCAGTGGAGTCCCCTGCCTGAGGTGAAGGCAGGGGTGTATGAGCAGGAAACCCACTTACAAATGATTCTTTTTGGAGTACCCTGATATTCCCCCTAATCCCCTGTCAAAGCTGTTAGCAAATTCTAATGGAGGTGGGAGTGGGTCTGCATACACAAATTCATCGTCTGCATCAACTGAGGGGGCAGGGGGAGGAAGAACCATCAGGCCAGTCCCAGTGCTCCCAGTGTTCACTGTCTGCTGAGTACTGGTAGGTGGAGGAGAGGGAGGGGTGAGAGATAAGATGTAGGCATCAGTTTGACTTTCCATCC